CACCCCACCCCACTCGGACGTATCGGCCGCGCCTCAATGGGAGAGGCATGCGGCTTCTGCGGCGTGGCGTGGTCGGTAGGGTAGGTCACTTATTGCGGGCTGACCAATAAATTACTAATGAGTTCCGCTGATGGCCCGGGGTACGGCGGGGTTGTGGAGTGGAGGGGGCTGCTGGGAGCTGCAGGGAGCTGCTGGGCCCCGCTCGCCAGCCGCAGCGGCGGTGGAAGTTGGCTGCCCAGAGGGATCGGGCCCGTCTAGGACTCAATCATTAATGGACCTGGAGTGGTCTCCAGGGGCCAAGAGGGGGGGGGGGATGCGTCGCATCGCATCGGGATGCGACGCCCCCGTGCCCCTGGTTGACCTCCTCCAGGAGGCGGCGTGTCGTATTGACGGCAGGCATTGCTCTGATCCTGTCTGGGGGCAGGCGCGGGGGCGGGTCCACCGTGCCGCCGGTGCCGACCCGGGACGGGTCGAGTTGAGGTGGAGGCCATTAAAAGATAACGGCAGCGGCAAAGTTTGGGCGCCGTTAAATGAGACACTGCGGCCGACCCGGCCAGCGCGACCCCGCCGACCCCGCGGCTGGCAATCTCGCCAGTGGCCTCCGCGGGCGAGGCGCGGCGTGGCGCGGTGCGGCGCGGGCTGAGCGCGCGCAGAGGCTGGCGGATGGATAACAGGCGGGGTCTGTGTCAATATTGTTGCAGCGGCAAGTCAGTCAGCCGTGGCGCACTGAGCCAGGCAGAGCGGGGCGCTGCGGTGCCGCCCTGTAGAATGTGTTGACATTCAGTAACTGGAAGGGGTACAAAAATCATTCTCTGGGCGTGATGGATATTGCGGTACACTTGTCAAAAAATATAAATTAGTGTTGTGACAAATTTTTACAAGTTTGGCGTTGATGTTGCTCCGTGTCGTAGTGGCCGCGCCGGCGGGGACAGGCGTCCCCGTCGAGCCCTCTCCGAGCTGGACTCGGGGCCAGGGCTCTGCTCGTGGTCCCGGCCAACGCCAAGCCCGCTCGCCCTGCTTGTTCCGGGGCCACGGACGGCGGCGGCGGCATGGCCTTGGTGGGGCGCGCGGCGCGCTAGGCCCTTGCTGCGGCGGAATGGCATGTTTTACAACCTGCTTCCTTATTATGTGTCTGCCGGAGGGAGGGGGGTAAGGGTGTTTACCGACGGCAGGGAGGCAGCCTTATTGGCACGGGCTGAGTGCAAATAGGAGGTGTGACGGGGGCCGGGGGAGGGGGGCAGCAGGCGGCAGCAGGCGGCAGCAGGGTAGTTGTAGTACAACATCGAGCGTGGCTGGGGAAGGGGTGGTTTCTCACGGTGGTAAAGAGAGGGAGAGGGAGGGGGCGAGTATTGCGAGGGGAGGGAATGAAGACCAGGGGAGTGGGTAGGGAAAAGGACGCGGCCAACCGAAAACATAACCTGAGTGAAAGGGCTCCCTTCGGCTGTTTAGAGTGTCTATTATTTAGGCCCGTCCGCAGGCTGGCTCCCCGTCTCGTGCGGCCTGCTCGCCGGTGGGGCCCCGCCCCGCCCTGCCCCGCCGGAGCCCCAACCCCTGCCCTCCGCCTGCACCCCCGCCGCACCCCCGCCGGGGCCCACGCCGGCACCGGCCCGGCGGCCCATCGCGGCGGCAGGCCGGGGGCCGCCCTAGCGCCAGCGCCCGCCTCGCCTGCGGCAGCCGGAGCCCCGCCGCGTCATTTAGTTTTAGTGTGTGGCTCGCGGAGGGCGCACGCGACGTGCTGCCGGACACGTGTGAGGCCGTGGCGCACGTGTCTGCTGGTAGGGTGCCGTCCTGGACACGGCCGCGCGCCCGTGTACTCGCCTAACGTTGTCGCGGTCGGTCTTAACCCTGCGCGTCGGGTCATTAACTGCCGGCACTGACTGCCCCCCCACCTCCCCCCGCTATTTCTCATAGCCCGCCGCGGGGCTACTATGGGGTTGTAACGCTGGCCGCGCTGTTAAAGCGCTGTTATTGTAGGCCTCCGGGGAGCGGCCGTGAGAACCCTATGGGAACCCCTGCGCCCAGAGATCATCTGACGACGACCTCTGACGGTGGTGACCCTCTGACGACGACCCTCTGACGACGACCCTCTGACGACGACCCTCTGACGACGACCCTCTGGCGACGACCCTCTGGCGACGACCCTACGACCCTCTGGCGATAGCCCTCTGGCGACGACCCTCTGGCGACGACCCGTACGAAAAAGTTTAGTCCGGCATCAGTCCGTTTTCGGTCCGGAAAGAGTCCGCACCCCTGTGGACCAGTCCGCGTTCGATCCGTCGTGCACCGGGCTAGTCCGCTTTTAGTACCCCCGGGCGTGCAGACTAGTCCGCTTTGAGGTCGCAGCGGCCAAGTGCGATGCCGGACCAGTACGCAGACAGTCCGCCCTCACCGGACTAGGTCGCTTTCAGTCCGCCCCATGACGGACTAGGTCGCTATCAGCCCTCCAACGGCGGACTACTGGCGGACCAGTCCGTCCTGAGTACCTACCCCAGCGGACCAGGTCGTTTTCAGTCCGCCCGGGAGCAGAGCACAGCACTGTTAAAAAGAAAGAATTGTCCGGAGCGAATCCCGATACAAGTTTACCATGCTGTAACTTTGGAAGTTACAGAAATTTTTACCTCAAATTTTATTTGGGACATCTACACCCTATTTTAGTAGGGCCATTTTAATTTTATTGAAATCAAAGCAATTTTTTCTGCTAACTCGTAAACGGCTTGAGCTAGGTCAAAACAGACAGCGGATTTGGCTTCGCCTCGTTTCTAACACTCTACGACCACTGCTCGATTTACCTTGACCTGATATTTTACTTTATTTAGCAATAATAAACATTAA